AGGTATATGTTTTTGTTGATTTCAAAAGCAATTAAATTCTCTCTTGAGCATTTATTTGGGCCCTTTTTAATCAGAATAACTCAGTTTTTCACTTTTGATGGATCTCCAGTAACGCAGGTCCATTACGGGAAAGTGCCGGTCCATTACAGAGTTGTACTTTCTGGGGTTGTACTTTTTTGAATAACAACCCCTTACCCCTGACAAGTTACTCAACTGACAAGTTTCCTTGTTTAAGGACAAGAACACCAGGATCATACCCATATGGTACTCTTGACATTTATGAAACATTCATTAGGCCAAACACTTTAGCAAAAATGCAGACTACAGTCACTACAGTGCAGCAAATTGCGCATGACAACAAACTATAGTTTCTTGTACATCCAACAGCAATTTCAGTAAAATTGTTTAGTGCAATATGATGTTCATTAAATGTTTGTAGTTAAAAAATACCTAGGTTACACTAGGGCACAGGCAAGTTACACTAGGGCACAGCCTGGTTACACTACTATAGGGCACAGGCAAGTTACACTAGGGCACACGCAAGTTACACTAGGGCACAGGCAAGTTACACTAGGGCACAGGCAAGTTACACTAGGGCACAGCCAGGTTACACTACTATAGGGCACAGGCAACAAGTTACACTAGGGCACAGCCAGGTTACACTACTATAGGGCACAGGCAAGTTACACTAGGGCACAGCTAAGTAAGGTATATGTTTTTGTTAATTTCAAAAGCAATTAAATTCTCTCTTGAGCATTTATTTGGGCCCTTTTTAATCAGAATAACTCAGTTTTTCACTTTTGATGGATCTCCAGTAACGCAGGTCCATTACGGGAAAGTGCCGGTCCATTACAGAGTTGTACTTTACTGGGGTAACAATTTTTTGAATTTTTTGAATTGGTAACAATTTTTGGAATTTTTGACTGGGGTTTACAATTTTTTGAATAACAACCCCTTACCCCTGACAAGTTACTCAACTGACAAGTTTCCTTGTTTAAGGACAAGAACACCAGGATCATACCCATATGGTACTCTTGACATTTATGAAACATTCATTAGGCCAAACACTTTAGCAAAAATGCAGACTACAGTCACTACAGTGCAGCAAATTGCGCATGACAACAAACTACAGTTTCTTGTACATCCAACAGCAATTTCAGTAAAATTGTTTAGTGCAATATGATGTTCATTAAATGTTTGTAGTTAAAAAATACCTAGGTTACACTAGGGCACAGGCAAGTTACACTAGGGCACAGCCAGGTTACACTACTATAGGGCACAGGCAAGTTACACTAGGGCACAGGCAAGTTACACTAGGGCACAGGCAAGTTACACTAGGGCACAGGCAAGTTACACTAGGGCACAGCAAGGTTACACTACTATAGGGCTCAGGCAAGTTACACTAGGGCACAGGCAAGTTACACTAGGGCACAGCCAGGTTACACTACTATAGGGCACAGGCAAGTTACACTAGGGCACAGCTAAGTAAGGTATATGTTTTTGTTAATTTCAAAAGCAATTAAATTCTCTCTTGAGCATTTATTTGGGCCCTTTTTAATCAGAATTACTCAGTTTTTCACTTTTGATGGATCTCCGGTAACGCAGGTCCATTACGGGAAAGTGCCGGTCCATTACAGAGTTGTACTTTACTGGGGTTGTACAATAATTTGAATAACAACCCCTTACCCTTGACAAGTTACTCAACTGACAAGTTTCCTTGTTTAAGGACAAGAACACCAGGATAATATCCATATGGTACTCTTGACATTTATGAAACATTCATTAGGCCAAACACTTTAGCAAAAATGCAGACTACAGTCACTACAGTGCACCAAATTGCGCATGACAACAAACTATAGTTTCTTGTACATCCAACAGCAATTTCAGTAAAATTGTTTAGTGCAATATGATGTTCATTAAATGTTTGTAGTTAAAAAATACCTAGGTTACACTAGGGCACAGGCAAGTTACACTAGGGCACAGCCAGGTTACACTACTATAGGGCACAAGCAAGTTACACTAGGGCACAAGCAAGTTACACTAGGGCACAGGCAAGTTACACTAGGGCACAGGCAAGTTAAACTAAGGCACAGCCAGGTTACACTACTATAGGGCACAGGCAAGTTACACTAGGGCACAGGCAAGTTACACTAGGGCACAGGCAAGTTAAACTAAGGCACAGCTAAGTATGGTATATGTTTTTGTTAATTTCAAAAGCAATTAAATTCTCTCTTGAGCATTTATTTGGGCCCTTTTTAATCAGAATTTCTCAGTTTTTCACTTGTGATGGATTTCCAGTAACGCAGATCCATTACGGGAAAGTGCTGGTCCATTACAGAGTTGTACTTTACTGAAGTTGTACTTTCCTGGGGTTGTACAATTTTTTGAATAACAACCCCTTACCCCTGATATGAACAATGCTAAATTTAGTATTGTACTCTGACCAAAAATTGGAAAGTAAATCCAATCACAGAGACAGAGTAAAATGTATGTACACTGTATCTCTGATTGTTCAACATACATTACTTTGTAAGAGAATTAGAGAAATAGTATTAGCCTAGAGTCAGCATTTAGCAGCAACAAAAGATTGCGCATTTTGCAGATTGTCCATTGAAGCAAAGGATAAGGAGCTGATTTTCATCCATGGAGCTTTAATAAAAAGTTATTTAGTCAGCATGATTTCCTCAGAGTGCTAATCTGGAAATCAGAATGCTGCTGAGAATGAACAGCATGCTGTCTTGAATGCTAATAAATATAATAATGTCAACATACTGTTGATAAATATAAAAAATACTAATAAAATCCATTCTACATTGAACATAGAAATACACTGACTGTACACTCTGTTTTTTTACATTGAATATCAAGAACACAAGATGTCCACCTTTGGATTTTGCTTTATTTTGTAATTCTTGCTCAAGTTTTCTGCTTGCCATGGTTATAGTACACAGAATGAAAATATAAAAATGTCAAAATAACATTTCATTAGGGCAGGGGGCATTTCCCTTCATCCAAGAAATTGGTTTACAACAAAAATACCATTTTGGTATCAGATGTCTGGCCTACTGGAAAATTAGGTTTCTAAACACTTGTGCATGGGCTATAGGTTACAAAATAATTTCAGTTTATGGTTTAATTATGTAATGTAGTTGCTAACTCTTGATCTGGAATACAAAGGGTTGAAAAAAGGGCTGGTCAAAATAACCTAAAATAAAATAGAATTACCTGGTCAATTACTATTGCATAAATAAAGTCTTACTCACCTGACAAGTTTCCTTGTTTAAGGACAAGAACACCAGGATCATACCCATAGCTTTTGTATGGTACTCTTGACATAAATGAAACATTCATTAGGCCAAACACTTTAGCAAAAATACAGACTACAGTCACTACAGTGCACCAAATTGCGCATGACAACAAACTATAGTTTCTTGTACACCCAACAGCAATTTCAGTAAAATTGTTTAGTGCAATATGATGTTCATTAAATGTTTGTAGTTAGAGCACAGCTAGGTTACACTAAGAGCTAGGGCACAGGCAAGTTACACTAGGGCACACTCAGGTTACACTAGGGCACAGGCAAGTTACACTAGGGCACACTCAGGTTACACTAGGGCAAAAGCAAGTTAGTTACTAGGGCACAGGCAAGTTACACTAGGGCACACTCAGGTTACACTAGGGCAAAAGCAAGTTAGTTACTAGGGCACAGGCAAGTTACACTAGGGCACACACTAAGTTACACTAGGGCACACTCAGGTTACACTAGGGCACAGGCAAGTTACACTAGGGCACACTCAGGTTACACTAGGGCAAAGGCAAGTTACACTAGGGCACAGCCAGATTACACTAGGGCACAGGCAAGTTACACTAGGGCACACACTAAGTTACATAAGGGCACATTAGCTAAAAGTAATTTTGCGATAACTCCTTCAATTTTAATGCAAATGACCTGATTTTTGGCATACATGTTAATTTCTACTTGTACTACCAGCTCACTAGATTTTTTCTTTATTGCTTGTCCATTTTATTTTAACTTTTTCTCCAAAATGCCACGTTACAAAAGGGCACATGTGCCCGTGTGTAATCTGAAATGTGCCCACTGAGCTATATATAGCTCCCACTGAGCTATATATAGCTCAGTGAATGTACCCTTATGTTATGGAAACGAAGGAGAGGAATACTTCGAAAGGATTGCCTTTTTGTGCTAAGAAAGGTTAGTAAATTATTTTTACTGTTGCTTATGCACCAAGTAACAAGAGCACAGGAGCATAGCATTTATTATTAAGCGTATTCTGTGCATTAAATGTTTATTTACATGTCGCATGTTTATAATGTTTATAATGTTTATAATATGATGCCTAAATTGACTGCCTTTCAATGCTGTACTATGACTTCTTACACTGTCTTACACACATATACCATGATTACACTCTCTTACACAGCTGAGTGATATTGCTGTACATTGCTCTACTATAGATTAACCTAAAATGATTGCACTGCTTTACCATACACTGTATGCTGCTGTTAAACTGAATAAAACAATGTCCTCCCATACAATATTGATATTTGATAGCATAATATGAGTTAGTATAAATTAATGTGGTGCTTGACAGCATAACTTAATGCATTAGTATTTAATGATATATGTTGCCAAACAGCATAATATAATTTGTTTGGATAAACTAGCTATTCTGTATAGTGTATATCTTAAAAAAGATTCACTCATTTCAACCTATCATCTTAAGTCACTGTAGGTATACCAAAGAGCTACCCACCAAAATACTTGTCAATATCTATTGTATAAGTTGCTGAGATTTCATAAGTGTATGACTAAACCCCAGCCATTTGATTTTCTCAAATGTGCAGTGTTACACTTTATGCTTTAATTCATCCTTTATATCATTCTGAGCATCTAATTATTTGATATATGGAGGTTTGAGTAAAATTTCATTAGGTAATTTTCATGTTAGCATCAGGTTATTGGTCGTAGTTGTACCTTAATTGTGACTTAGGCAAAATCACTAATTTAAATAACATTTCATCAGAATGTAACATTTGTTTCACTCAAGGTATATTGATCAGTAGTTTACCCACAAAAGTACTTATTTATACAGGTGTTTCTACATTCATACATGTATGCAGGTGTTTGTTGTATAAAACTCTTAAATCCGTTTCAACTATAATATATCGGGAGATTGGTTAATTTTGCACTAATCATACTGAGTTAATTCACTACGTTTTAATATGATGGCATAATATGTGTTGATATAAAAACCCGGTAATGCAGTGTTTGATACCATGGTATAATGTACTGGTATAATACAATGCAATGTTTGATACCATGGTATAATGTACTGGTATAATACAATGCAGTGTTTGATACCATGGTATAATGTACTGGTATAATACAATGCAATGTTTGATACCATAGTATAATTTACTGGTATAATACAATGCAATGTTTGATACCATAGTATAATGTACCAGTATAATGCAATGCAATGTTTGATACCATAGTATAATGTACTGGTATAATGCAATGCAATGTTTGATACCATAGTATAATGTACTGGTATAATGTAATGCAATGTTTGATACCATAGTATAATGAATTGGTATAAAATAATGCAGTGTGTGATAGCATAATATAATGACATAATGTGTTAATACAATATATATTAACTCTAACATTCCAGGAGAGATTGGTTAATTTAGCACTAATCATAGCGATTTAGTTAATTCACTACGTTAATTTTAATATGATCGGCTATGTATCAGTTTAATTTTTTTTGTATACATGTGTTGGTTGTAAAACTTTTTGAACTATATTATACGGTGATACTAACTCTAACATTATCGGGAGATACTATACTGATTTGGTTAATTCACCGCGATTCTGATTGACAAATTCTGCTACTAAGCCAATAACTACCGTATATAGTTAAAGAGTAAACTACCTTTTTATATAACCGGCCCCAGATGATTATTTTCTGTGGGTTAGGGTTAGGGTAGGCCAGAACCCTGTTGATATATACTAGACAAAAGTACGAAGCCAATGACTATATGTTACCGTAATTACTTAAACTTGGTCATGAAGTAGAAAAATGTTCTATCCTTTAATATTTTTTCCCGTAAGCGTGGAGTGTGCCCTAAGAATTTTTACAGTACATGAGTACAATGTCAATTTATAATATATCTAACTCAGATGCTTAGAAAAACTGCTTTTAATATTTGGAAACAGTATTTCAAGGTTGTTTTAGCAGACAGCGCACTGAAAAACACGGCAATGGAAACGCACTCATCTTAACTTTTTATATTTAATGTTTTACTTTTAATGCTAGATGATTGTTTTACATTGTCTATACTGCCAGTTAACTCTGTCATATATAGAAGACAGTTTTACTGTTTATAACCAATGGCTGGTTGTTCAAAAGCAAGTTAACTTTATATATAAGTAAAAACTTTTAATGCCAGATGATTACTTTACTCTTTCCACAGTGCCATAACTCTGTCATGTGTATATATAGAAGACAATTTTACTGTTTAATACCAGTGACTGGGTGTTCAAAAGCAAGTTAACTTTAATCTGCATGGGGCAGGGCGCTGTAAAACACGTGCATGCATGGAAGCGCACTGCCAATGCTCATCGTATAGTTTATATACTTAATTTTTACTTCTAATCCCAGATGTTTGTTTTATTCTGTCCGTAATGGCAGAACTCTGTTGTATATGACAGACAAGTGGCTCAGTAGTTTTTGTAAAGCAGGTTAACTTTAACATGGGGGAAAGGCGCTGTATTTGTATAACACGGGCATGGACACGTGCTCATCTTAGCTCAATATATATAATGTTTAACTTTTAGTGCCAGATGATTATTTTACTCTGTCTATAGTGCCATAACTCTGTCATATATAGAAGAAAATTTTACTGTTTAATACCAGTTGCTGGTTGTTCAAAAGCAAGTTAACTTTATAATCTCTTGCTCACATTAGCTTTATATATAACGTTTTACTTTTAATGCCAGATGACTGTTTTACTCTGTCATATATTTCCAGAACTCTGTCATATATACAAGACAATTTCACTGTTTAATAGTCCCAGTGGCTCGTTGTTCAAAAACAAGTTAACTTTATAACCTGTTGCTCATGTTAGCTTTATATATAATGTTTTACTTTTAATGCAAGATGATTGTTTTACTCTGTCTATAGTGCCAGAGCTCTGTCGTATATCAATCACCACCAAAGTTGCTGTGTCGATGTTGAAGGAGAATAAGAATTTGAAGCACCTAACAAAGAAATTTACCAACCAGCAAATATACGACAAGCTGAGGACGGAGAGGAAAATTGCGAAGAGAGAAAAAGAAGAATAAAGATATGGACTCCCGTATCGGTGACTAACTGACACATTTGTCTTTTAGGATGTTTATTGACATTCTACAGTAAAAAATAATAGACTTGCAGTACAAAACAACGCTAACTCCAAAAATCAGCATTTTAATTG